GAAGCTAGACACAAAGCGATTCCCTCTGAGAGAAATTCAGAAACTAGTTGAGTGACTCTTATACATTGGACAAATGAGAAAATGCCCATACTGAAATGAGTAGGAAAGGCTGAGACACACTCTTGCCATAAACCCGACCCCTAGCACTCTGACATACAATCTTCAGAGAATCCCCATCTACCAGCTTCTCTCTGAGGAATAAAGGGATTGGACCATATTTCTAGGGCACTAGCTTTCAAGGCTCCCATCCAAGGGACAGGCCCCCAAACACTGTAACAGCAAATGGAGTTTCCTTCCAAAGAATCGTAGGACCCTGGCAAATGAAGAAGTAGTTCTTAATGCCTGCACATGTGAGAACTCATCATGGCTATCCCTCCAGAGGATATGCAGAGGGAGCTGCAAAAATGCCCTTTTCCCACTCTAACTCCGGAAGTGGTTTTACTGCATACTTTACAAGCTGCTGCCTGAGGGTCCAGGTTCCAATTAGCAGGCACAAGTGCTCAGGCAATCCTCTCCAGACCCAAAAGAGCCAGTGAGCACTGCTCTCACCTTCTCCCTCTGGCTTGTTTCAACAATAAAAACAAGTTGCCAAATATCTTCCTGGAAGAAGCTTGTCACATATCTAACACCCCAACTTTTACAGCTACCACCCAAAGGATGAGCCCTCATATTGCCTAGATCTGATAGCCAATGAGGCTTGCATTCACAAGTCCCATGGGGCAATAGCAAACCAAGCAGCAATTTTTAAATGGGCGCAGGAGCACCACATCATGGCTATACACCTAGGCTCAATGCAGAGGGAGCAAACAAAAATGTCCACCTCCCAGTTTCTCTTTGGAAAGGACTTAACTGTGTACTTTCCCAGATGCTGCCTAAAGACTTGGCTTTTTATCAGCCTGCATCTAAGTGACAGAAATCTTTCCTTTGGGGCGTAGATGGGTTTTGGACTAATCTTAACTACTGAGAGCTACTAAAAATAAAGACGGTGGTGTAGACAATTACAAATGTTTGAGAAACAACGAGGAATTTGGGCATATTGATTGATGAGGTTCATCTCCTACAGTGGATCAGTAAACATTGGGAGAGGTGGCTATTTTATCTAATGTGCAGAAACCAACGAAGAGAGTCAAAAGAAGAAGAAGAAGAAGAAGGAGAAGGAGAAGGAGAAAACAACAAGGGAATATGTTTCAATCAAAAGAACAAGGTAAATCTCTAGCAATTGATCTCAACGAAATAGAGATAAGTGAGTAGCCAAAGAGAGGTCAAAATAGCAGTCATAAAACCGCTCACTGAGGTTAGAAGAATGATGTAAGTAAGAATTTCAACAAGATAATTTTTTAAAAAGTACCAAATAGAAATCACAGAGCTGAAGAACATAAAAATTGAACTGAAAAATTCAATTGAGGTATTCAAAAGCAGATTAGAGCACATAAAACAACAGGTAAACAAACTCAAAGACAGGGAAGTGAAATTCATTCAATCATTCAAAAGAAAAACAGTAAAGATAGCTTAAGAGACTTATGGAATACCATTAAGTTGATCGATATATGCATTATAAGGGATTTAAGAGAGTTAATAGAGAGATAAAAAGAAAGAAAGCTTATTCAAAGAAATAATGGCTAAAAACTATCTTAACCTGGAAAAGAAACAGACATCCAGATCTGGGAAGCACAGAGAGTACCAGATAAGATGACTCTGAAGAAATCCACATAGAAACATAATATAATTAAATTGTTAAGACAGAGAATCTTAAAAGTAGCAAGAGAAAAGCAACTTGTAAATGTTTAGGCACTCAACATCGAAGCATTAAATTTATAAGTTAAATATTAACATACCCGAAGGGAAAAATAAATAACAATACAATAATAGTAGGGGCTGCAATACTCCACTTTCAATGGTGAAAAGATCATCCAGACAGAAAATCAATTAGAAAACATCGGACTTAAACTACACATTAGGCCAGATGAACATAAGAGACGTATACAGAACATTTTTTCCAATAGCAACAGAATATATGTTTTCAAATGCACTTAGAATGTTCTCCAAGATAGACCATATGTCAGGCCACAGACAAGTCTTAACAAGTTTAAGAAATTTGAAATTATATCAAGCATCTTTTCTGATCAAAATGGTATCAAATTAGAAATAAATTATAAGAAGAAAACTAGAAAAATCACAAATATATAGAATTTAAACAACATGCTCCTGGACAACCAGTGGGTCAAAGAGGAAATCAAAAGAGAAATTAAAAAAAAAAAAATCGTGAAACAAATGAAACTGGAGCTACAACGTACCAAAGTTTTGGAATAAAAGTTTTGATTAACTCATTGGTGGAAACACTTTTACATTGCATATGTATAACAAATCATCATATTGTACAAATTAAATGTACTAAATTTCTATTTGTTAATGATATCTCAATAGAGCTGAAAAAGCAAAGTACTAATGAAAGAGAAAATGGAGAAAAGAGGTAGAAACAAGGAAAACAAAGGTAATATCCCCTTTTACATGGTGTTCTATTAAAAGATGCCATTTGTAGTTGTTGAGACAATAAATAAAAGCATAAGTATATTATTTGAAGATACAAAGGCCATCCAAAGATCTAAAAGTAGTGAACAAAAGCATGTAATGGCAGGAGTAGCGATAATGTTAAATTAAGCAAACTAAATCTATAGTGTGATTTTTAAGTCACAGATATGTATTGTATTACAAAAGTGTTCACATGTCCTTTTGGAAATAAATTTTACTAAACATTTTAAGAAATAGCAAAGGAATAGAAGGGAGAGCATGAAAAGATGGGAAAATGTAAAGGGAAGCGTTTCAGTCATAGGAGAGCCCCAAGGTAATTCTTATAGATGGGAGGCTCCATTTGTTTTTTTAAAATCCTTATCTTTTAATCATTCATTTATAAATAGCATATACTTAAAGGTTTTGTTAAATTGGATTTTAAGTAATAGAATATATAATACCTAATTTTAGAAAGATTTTATCACTTGCATATGGCTGCTAATGATGGAAGTGTTCTCGCATGTATTCTGCTGGCTTAAAGAGATGAGACTTCCAGTATACAATAGGGGAAAACAAGAGAATCTGAGCCCAAGAAAGCCTGCCGGCCCAGCCTACCACCCACAGCCACCTCCAGGGTGTGTGATCAAGTTAAGACAAAATGGGAACAAAGAACTAATTACATAATAAAGTCAATGGGAATATTTTCTCTAATCATCTTTGCCATGTTGTCTTGACATTTTCTATTTTCATTTATGTCAGGCACTCTCAACTTCTCAGGGCCACCTTAATTCATATTCAGATAGTTAGAATTTAACATCACTAACAAAAACCCAAAACACATTACACAACACAATTTAATCAATATATGGAAGCAATTTTCCACTGTAGGAAAACAGTTGCATGAGGTTCTTCTGCAGGGACGTCCCTCTAGACTGTTTAAGCAAGTCATGTGTCCTGTCCTTCCCCAGGGAACATGCAGGCAGCAGCAGCCTCCGTCTCCCCTACCATCTAACCCTCTCACCAAGCTGCACACCAGGATGTTGACTTTGTGCCCACAGCTCTCACGGAGGGTAGATAAGCAGTCCCACAGTTTTCATATTTGTTTCAATAGCTGAGATGAGAAATCTTTCTGGAGGTTGGCTTCTCCTGACATCTCCAACCTTCCTATATACTTTAAAATAGTCTACTTACTGTTGCCCTGCATTAAAGTGTATATATTTCTGGAGACCATTCATAAACTGGGATTTACCATGGACAGTTCTAATTTGAGTCACGCTTCTAGTTTGGAAGCCAATAAGCTACTGATATTGTTCTTAATAAATAGTGATGGAATCCTTTGTCAGAGTAGGAATAGGTAAGAATCAAATTCTGTACTCTCTTGGCAGCTATAAGCAATCTGGGTGCTTGACTTCTCAGTGAACCAACCATCAAGGCTTCATTTTTGTTTTTGTTGTTGTTTTAATGTATCTGTAAAAGATGCAAGATTCTTCTTAGGTGTTAATTAATTCTTTGGTTCTTCCCTAAATTACTGGTCTCAAGTGATATTGGTTAATAGTCTTTTTTTTCTGCAAAGTTCTGTTGGTTAATGAACCATCACTTTGAATCAAAAGCTAGCTGAGGCATATAAGAATGATTAATATGTATGGGCAAAGAAAGTTCTAAGCTAAAGATTTGAATAGAAGAAAATGTGTTACTGTATATATCTTCATTGGCCCTTCACTAATTTTTATTTTTAATACAGTACAAAAAAAGGATTTGAATATTTATGATCTGTTAAAGTTCCACATAAGAGAAATGATTTTTTGTGTGTGAGGAAAAATAATTTGTTTAAAAAGAAATCATCTCAGCATTAAGTTAATCAAAACCTTACATAGGTAAACAATTTTGCATTTTGTTAACAGAAAATGATAATATTAAACTCATTCAAAAACTAAGGGCTTTGACTCATTTTTTTGTTTATATAAATATTACTAAAAATGTTAATTTATGTTTACAGTTGAATTTAAATATCACTGTTTTATAAAAAATATAGAAATTGTGCAAAAATATGCTTAAAAATATTCATCAAAGCATTGTTTATTAATAACAGAAGAGTGGAATTATCCTCAACTTCCATCAACAAGAGATTGATTAAATTTTAAATGCATCTATATAACAGAATACCAGATAGTTGTAAAGAGGTACTTGGTGACCTGATATTTATTGATAAGATATCTAGATATATTGTTGAGTGGCCAACAAAATTAAGGTATAGAATATGATGCAGAGTGATCGAATTTACAGTAGCACGTATATGTGGTGTGTGTTTTTATAAACACTGGTGTGTGAGCAGAGGATGCAGAAGTGTTAGAATTGAGGGAGAGGGGTGAAACGTTACATTCCAGAATGGTCCAAAACAATTCTATCTCTCAGGGCAGCAGCACTCTAGGCTGTAAACCAGTAAGTTACCTGCTTTTGGCTCCAGAAACAAAATGAGTTGGAATTAGACTTACCGTGTTAGAGCTGTGAGTGGTCCCCTTTTGAGATGTGTCATGGAGTAGCACCTTCTGAGCTTTCCCCTTTATCAGTCAAAGAATAAAAATGGTGAGTCTGTCTTCATAAGAAATTTTTTCTCAAGAAATATAAAAATTTTTCTTTCATTAAAATATTTATGCTCACCAACGCAATTATATTTCTTAACTCAAAGTGATGACTCTAATTAAGAAAATTACTTTCAAATTTTAAGTATCTTCATATGTATCTGTTGGGAGATAATTCTCCATGGGTCTTTTATGGTTTTTTTTTGTTTTTCATTTCCTGTAAGCAGAGACACAGACTATTTGTTCCAGGCTCTCTTTTCAATTGTTTATACAGTGAAAGGTTTTGGAATATAGAGATTGAGTCTCCCTCTAGGCAGAGGGCAGGTTTCCTTACCATCTAAGAAAAATAATGTCTTCCTCCAACACAATTTCAGGCAGTCTTACCACCCATTATAAAAGATTTGAGTTTGCCAAGCTTAAAGTTCTTCTCCTATAATATATCTCACTGCATGGGCAGGATCACTTGGCCTTTTTTGTAGCTGGGGAACTGATTAAAATGCTGATACTTTGTCTGTTGCTATCACTGTTAATAATAAATTGTTTTGGTCTCTAAGGCAGGAGTCTCATGTCATCTGCCAGCATCTATGAAACTGGCAGGCTAACTTCTTAGCTGGCAGGTAGGGTAAAATTTCAGACCTTTCACAGTTATTGCCGGGACCCTGTCATGGCTCAAAGTTATCTAATTACAAATGCCTTCATTAGGACATTTAATTACATACTTTTATAGAAATAAAAAGGGCTTATTTAATGTCAAACTCCAACTTGAATTTATTGATTTCTAACATTTCTTCTTAAAGTAGTTTAAGATATTTATCATATTATAAAATAACTTTAAAAATACATTACAAAATAATTGTCCTTTAAAAGTTATTTCAATTACAAAGACTAATAATTTACCAGAACAGTTTTCTCAAATCAATAGAAACAGAGACACTGTATTGATTGATTTACTAAGGTTTCATTACCAGTGAATTCAAAGCAATTTAAACAGAAAAGAGAGAGAAATGGGTCAATATCACCGGTCAAGTTAGATTATATCCTATAAGCAATGAAATGTCTTTGGTTTCTTTTCGAGTAAATAATCAGTTGTCAGAAAGGGTATTCCTCAAGGAACACCTCAGGCATGAATGGACTTTTGGTTAATAATTTCATTTTGATTTTTTAATAACTTTTATATAACTTTGAGAATTCATTTTCTCTATGATTCCACATAATTCAGAGTAAATACCTCAGTCAATACCTGTTGTCTGGTTTATGTAGAAGCTTGATTCATCTCCATTGAAGTGCCCCGCACCACAGATTTAATGGAGAAGAAAGCTGCTCTAAAAGCAGTTAGGGTACTCAGGAGCGATGGGTAAGGAATGGTAGAATCAGGAACACCTGAGAAATCTTTCTGAAAAAAGTACGGAGGTCTGTGTAAGACTTCAACAAGTAGGAAGTGGGAAAAAACCTATCAGGCAGAACGAAGACACAGACAAAGCTGTGGAGGCTGAACCAGTGCAAGAGTTATCAAGGACACAAAGAGAAATGTGTGACAGCTGGAGTGTGTAGGGCTTTCATGATTTTCCAGCTTAAAAGATGATTAGTCAAGTTCGGGGTTAGAAATCAGTACTTAAGGAATGTCTGCATTGAGAAGCTATTTGAAGCTAAGGAGATGAAAAAGATCACCAAGGGGAGTGCACATAGAGAGAAAAATGGGCTTATAGCTTAACTCTGAAGGAGGCCCACAAAGGAAGAAGAATGCACCCAAGAGACTGGGAAGACCCAGCTGTGCAAGCAGGTAACTTAGCCTTGTGTACACAGTAGTCCCAGGAGAGTGAGTGCTGGAGTGCAGTCTGGCCTGTCTCAAAAACACTGTGTGACTTCAGCCGAAACACATATTCGACTTCAGTTTCCTCAACTGTCCTTTGAGGGATGAATCTGTGAGAATGCCATGGTCTCTTCTATCTCTGAATCTCTATTTTTTTCTCATTAGTAATGAGTAAAGAATCTGAGGCAAGATCACTGAGTGAGCAATATACCAAGGATTTACTGGGGCATTGCAAATCTTGCGCCCTCACGGAAACCTTTTTGTCTTTGTGTTTATTCCAATGATCTTATGTTGATACAGAGAGAGGCACGGGTGTCAGATATACCCAACAATTAACTGTTGGTGATATTGAAAAACAGTAGCCATTGTGACTGTTTCATAGTAAAAATATCAAGGAACGATCTCTAGTCAGAGACTCTTTGTATTTTGCAAGAAATCTGAAGTTCATTTGCATTTGTGTCAGATCATCTGGAACATGTACTAAAAGCAACAGTAACACTGGTTGCAATGGCATTTCCATTAACAAAGTCAACAGAAGAGACGACTGGAAACATGTAATGTAGTATGAGAAATCCAGTTTGCAACCAACCCAGATCTGTTAATTAATATGTTCTAGAGTTAAGATAATAACAGGCTGGAGAATTTCAAGTTTGCTTCCATAGACGAAACGTTTGCTGGAAGGACTTTAAAAAATTCTGAGCCCGCATCTCTGTGCCAGGCAGAATCTCTCACATTCAAAAATAGAGTTTACGCCAAACTGTCTTATCCCTGGAAGTAAGGCAAACTTAAAATTCGACAATGGAGATACCGTACTTAAGGATGAAATATAGCACAGTTAAGGTTGTTTTCCAAGATGATCTAGTATTTTTACCCAAATAAATTTTTAAAACTCACCCTCATTGTTTAAGGTCTGGGTTTATATGTTTATCCGTAGTCTATTATTTGGGATATTTTATATCTCAAGCAAATGTAATAGCTGATAGGAAGTGTTTCCTCTGAGATTACTTTTGGGAAGGAAACATCCACTGAGTGTTGGCTATGAACCAAGCACTGTGGTAGATGCTTCATAAATCTTATCTAATTTAGTCCTCACAGTAGCTCTGTAAAGAAGCCACTACTTTCCCCGATAAGGAAATTAAATATCAAAATTTTAAGTACATCATCAAGTTACTTAGCAGTAAAATTTGAACATCCTTCTCCTTGAATCAAAGGGAATCATTTTTTTTTTCTTTAGAGATTAGTATCTGAACACTGCATAAGTAAGCGTCAAGTGACTTCTTTTCTGACAGCATGTTAAGAAGACGAGTCCTCCCCTTTGCAATAATCAGTAACGTGATAGTAGATGGAGCCCTGGACACGGAGGTGAGAGACCCTGGCTCCTACCTAGCTCCGTTTCTGTCAGATCAGCTTCCTAGCCCAGCTGGGGACCCTCACATTCCTCCTAAATAAGAGGTCAGGCCCCTTCCAGTGAAGGCATTCTGAGATTCTCATTTTTTCATTTCATATCTAAATTTACTTGTCAATCTGAAGTGCTAATTCCCCCTCCCCACCCCGGCCCAGTTATGTTAATTATTAGAGGACAACAGATTTGCTTTTTCTTTTTTCTTTCTCTTTTTGTTAACTAAGGATCTTTAAGGTTCAAGTGGTAGCCTGAATACATAGATAATAAGTTCAGGATGCTGACTCATTTTTAATTCATTATCCTGATTACTTCCAAGTTTTTAATCAGATACTCCAGTTCTAAAGTTAAAGATATATGAGAGTCAATGCATCTTCCTCAATATCTTCCTTGCCGGTTACTGGCTTAAATAACTCAAGTGTGCATCTCATTACTTGTGTCTGCGAGGCTTCGTCACACTTTTTTTTTTTTTTAAATCCATAACAACTACTGAATTTGCATGCATTCATATTTCTTGGATGCCAAAATTGAGTCTCCTTCCAATTCTGTGGAGATTAATGAAATAAGAATTGCGAATATGTAAAATCCTACCAGTTTAAATTAGGAAGAATGAAGCCTATCTTCTCCAGGGTAAATTTATGAGATTTTGATAGCCAATCTTGAACAAAGTTTTTCAAGAGGCAATCCTAGATGGAATATAACTAACTGAAGGCAGGAGTTATTATTTTTCCATATTTAACCAAAATTGCACCATTATTGATGGTCCGAATAGTTTCATAATTAGAATTTGAAGCAACTGCGTTCTGAAGAAAATGGCTGTGTGATGAACCAGAGCTGAGCCATCAGAGATGGGCCTCTAACTGAGATGCCACAACAGTCATGCCAATTGAGGTGAATGTCTTTGCTTGATGTATCATATCGAAGAGTTCCTTTTACTACTTACTAATTTATGTTACCTTACCTGGTATCTCTGAGAAATCTCACATCCGTGCAGTAACTATTAACCTCTTCATATATTTCTTCTCATAAATCCCTCTCATTCTTTCCCCACGTCTCTAGGAACTGACTTCCTTTTCAATCTCGCTTTTGCTTGAATTCATCTTAGCCTCTCATTTGTCTGAAATGGAAAACTCTGGACTGTAAGACACACATTTTTGTTTGGTCAATGTGTTGTCCCCCCTATTGATTTGGTCCCTGTCCACTTTCTCAGATCAGTTCTGGTCAGACTGACAAATCTGAGAATCTGTTTAGTGCTCTGCTTTCTCCAACTATAGCCTCTGACGGCAAGGAAAGGATTTTGTAACTATAGCAGTTAGTCAGATGCCACACTTAAGAAAGAACTATTCATGCTGGAGGAATGTACCATCTATGTGTGTGTGTATGACAAATATGAGCTACTGTTAATTATTCAAGTAATGAAAAAAAAAAACAGACAGCAGCAACTTTGCTCAAGTGATGGATTCAATCAGTTAGCACAGCAGTTGTCACTGTTTTTTGATTTGCATGAATTAAACGATTGTGCCAACCAACTACTGCTTTGACCATTTAAGTCTGAGTGGTGCTTTATCTAGCATTCCTTAAATTCTGCACAACCAAATTAGTGAGAAATAAGACTTGTTTCTAAAGCTTTCATCATCTAGTGGCTTTAGTTTGGACACAGTTTAGATGAACTTTCATCATTTAAAGCCTGTGTTCATATCACTAAAATCATATCTCTGTCGGAACTGAAAATTTCACTTGAGCCCCATCCATCCTAAAGACAAGTTCATAATCGCAAAGCCTTTGTCGACTCCAAGCTATCACCATCCCTCTGCAGGATGCTTTTAAAGTAGACACAGATCCACAAAACTGGATTGGATAGGTTTAGTGTCTGGAATGCATGTTTATCTTACAAGTGGTGTAAGATAATCAAAGTATCTTTGGTAAACTATCTTACTTGAACAAAATTGTTCAGGGATGTGTCAGTGAAGAGCATTCCAGGCAAAGGAAGCACATGTGTGGAGGTGAGAGGCATGGGCTGTGCATGTGATCAGACACACGAGATGGGAGTGTTAGTATGGAGCGAGACCACCATGGGTATAACTAGGGGTAGAGGAAGCAGTTGGAAAGCAGGCAAACATAGGTTTCGATATAATTATATTCTTCAATCATAGTAGTTTGGTCAATATTTGTTAAATGAAGAGGCCATAGAGATTTTAAGCTAATGAGAAAGATTTCAAGAAAAGAACAGGCAGAATGCTTTAATTTTAGATACTCACACATGAAAAACTGCATGAATTATACAGTGTGTAGGAGGCTCAAAGGCATATGTATTGCTAAGGCAAATGCTTCATCTTGAGATGTCTATTTAAGCTCATTAAAAAAGGAATTGGCAATATTGTTAGAGCATATATAAATAAGGCTCATAATGAGGAGGCTGGATGGAATCATTTCTGTGAGAGTAGGAGGTGCTCAGAGTTTGAGAAATGAGTCAGCCTAATGGAACATAGTATTTGCTAGTTGTTGAAGTATCTAGAAGTCTGCATATTGTGCAGGATGTTCCACAACTAAAGTGCCTGAGAGTAAACCAGAGGCTCCGGGGAGACGAGGCATCCCTTCTTCCTTCTCTGGGGTGCTACAGCCCAAGCAGGACTTGCGGAATCAGGCTTTGGACTTGCTTGATTCATAATGTGGACTCTTTCCAGGTCTGCAGAGGCATTGGAGAGCCAAACATTCTCAGGCTTGTAGGTAATAGATTGGGTGTTATGCAGAACAGAGTAAAACAGATATCTGCACCATGCCTTCATTTAGATACTAAATGGTTTTTAGAGAGGGGTATTGATTAAGAAACTGTGTCCTTGCTTCTGAGTGATGGCCAGCTCCTAAGAGCTGCGCTTTGCTGCTGATGTCGGTGTGAAGGGCAGCACCGACGTTAGTGGATTAGCCCGCTGCCAAAATGTTTGGCCCAGAGTCCCTGTGAAGAGAGCTTCTAAGGTGATTCCATTTGCTGAATAGTCTCTATATAAACTTACATGGAGGTTGTAAATACAAAACATTAAAATATTTCCTAAATTGTATGGTGTGGAACCTATAAAAAGGTTTATCAATCAAAAAGTTTGGGAAATAAGGCATATTAATGTTATTGTAATATTCATTGACTTTCACATTGAATATAAGATATATTCAAAGTTAAGTAAGATGTTGCAGCTAAGCAACCTGCTTAACCAGGAATTTTCCATCATTTTTATTAGAAAAACATTTTTAATAGCATTCATGATTACTCGTTCTTGCCTTATCTATTGAGGTTTACTTCCTTCAGCATCAATCCCCCCACAACGCCCATTGCACAGGAACATACCCTTAATCCCAAGAGTGGGCTTCCAACAATCATGCTCAAACAATGGAACTAAGAAATTTGCTGAAATTGGCAGATCAGGTAAGAGGGCAATGTTTACATTACATAAGTAGGTGCTTAAAGCTCACACCTTCACACTGCTTCTCTATCCTCTCGTCCTCATTCACATCCAACATCACCTTCTGATAAGATAGATGGAGAGACAGGAAGTCAAAATTAACTTCTTGATAGCCATTTGCCATTAACCATATGGAAAGATGAGTTAGGACCACTCTTTGTACTCAGACCTATTCCTGCCAGATCCTCTCTAGGCTGTGGACCAGCTCTGGTCTGTAGCCTGTTAAGAAGTAGGCCACACAGCATGAGGTGAGCAGCTGGAGAGCAAGCGAAGCTTCATCTGTATTTGCAGCCACTCCCTAGCGCTAGCATCATTGTCTCAACTCCACCTCAGATCATCAGGCATTGAATTCTCATAGGAGCACCGGCCCCTGGTACCAAAAAGGTTGTACACAGCTGGTCTACAGGATGGAGCTGGACATATAGGCAAGTTCAATTTTCGATTATGGGTTCTCCAAAACTCTAGATTCTCAGTTTTCCTGGTTACCTCCTGACTCCAAGAGGTGCCACTGTCTAGGAACAACATGAACATGAGCTTTCCCAAAGTGTAGAGCCTCTCTCGTCTTCACTAGTTCACAATGGTTTTGAGATTTATTATTCTCATTTTCTATTCCCAATCTCTTTCAAAGCTTTGAGGTAGTCAAGCGCCTGTTGGTGAAGATTACAGTAATAACTGCCATTGAGGAAATGAACCAGGCTCATGCAGCCTTGAAGAATATTTCTAATAAGATATTAGAGAAAATCTACAGCTTGGGATTAAGTTTTCTATGACGTAACTGAGGAAAAGAAAATGCTGGTTCATAGAGACAGGAGGGATAGCAGATGCCCAGAGAGGAGCAGAGACAAGAGACAAAGAGAGGATCCCAGAGTCTGGTTCCAGACTCTTCCTGAAGCCATTCTCAGATATCTCCCTTCCTGGGTACTCCAGTACCTTTTTTTCTGAGTCCATATAAACTCAAGGTGGTTTTTGCTTCTTGGAACAGTGCTCCTAACCAGCATAACACCGGGCAACATCATGGACATCCAGCACTCAATTAAGGTGTATTTTGTAGACTGGAAGCCCTGGGAGCTTTCCAGGAATGTAAGGGACAAATACAGAGATGGTACCATCTACATTTTGTCTATGTCATTGCATACTTAATGATCGCTATTATCCAAATCGCGGCTCCAAATTATGTTATTACCTCAATAATGACCTATTGAGTTCATAAAAAATTAGATGCAAAGATGCAAAGAAAGTAAGACATGTTTTCAAAGGCTGGAGACTCCTAGCCTTGAGGTGAAGATGGATACTAGATAAGAATGAAATTACCAAGAAGAGCCTAAGAGAAAGTAAAAATCCCAAGAGGTCAGGGTCAGAATCCAGTGTCTAACTTTAAAATCTTTTGGCATAGCACGTAACTAGATCTGGGTTAGAAGAATGATAAAAAAAAAAAAAAAAGAGGACAAATTTAAAAATGCTAGGGACATAAAAACTGACTGTGCTTTTCATAGCTGTACTCTCTGTTCTATGCAGCCACACTCCTTCACCAATTTGAGCTCTTTTATAAGAAATAAATGATTATTGATGTCACAGTGATCTTCCTGGACAACGTTAGTCTCAGCCTCTGCCGACCATCACAGATGAGAGCATAGCAACCAAGCAATTCAAACTGAGAAGCCACAGAACTAAATCCATCATTGCTGAGGGGATTCAATTCAGACATAACTTGGAGAATAGGCAACGAATCAAAAAGCAGAAGATTTTGGTACTGAAGAATAGAAAGCTGAACATGTGAGGTTTTTTAAATTCATTATTTTTAAAAGTCATATTAAATTGTTATTATTGTGTCTCTAGCAAGGTCTTATGTGGATAAAACAAAATCCAGGGAGATAAAGTACGATTAAGTATCATTTGACTCGAGACTCCATTCTATCTCTATATATGTTCATTATTCCCATTATGGACTGCTGCATAACAAACCACCCCAAAATAGTGGATTAAAAATAACAATTTTATTATTATTATTATTATTATCATTATTATTATTAATTATTAAATTATCAAGACCTCTCACATAGTCGGAGTTAGAGGGTATTGAGTCATCCCCAAAGCTTCCTTACTCACACCTCTGGTGCTGTGGCTGAGAGACAAGGACAACTGGGGTTCTTCTAACAGAAACTTCCAGAAGGTACACGGCCATTTCTAGTGCAGCCTTGGAAGTCATGCAATGTTACTTCTATCACATTATATTCATAAAGTCACAATGGCCCATCTAGTTTTGAGGGGAGGGGACAGACACTTCATCCCTTGATAAGGATGGAGTGTCTGTGAATTTGCAGATATGTTATGAAATTCATCATATTTCTACTGTCGAATAAATACTTAACCCATAAAAAGTTCTTTTTAGAAGTATTTTCTAACCATTAAATGCTTTGAAGTAATTTTAATTTTGCTTAAAACCGCTGTTTCACATTCATCTAGCTGCATGAACAGGAGAAATTTACATAACTTTTCTGCAGCTCTGTTTTCTTGGCATCAAAAGAACAATGATTTTTAGGAATATTAGGAGAATTAAATAAAATGAGCTAAATAAAGGGCTTAGTATAATACATGTCTGATAGTGTTTAATTAAGTAATAATTAATAACAAATTTCATTTTCAAACACCCTGCTTTCAAATCATCACCGTCTAGCTTTCTAGCTTATTCTAGTGTGACTTGACTCCAACATTTGACATGCCATCCATAATTCTGCCAGCTATGTGTTTAGAAATACATGGAAAGCACTGACTTGATAACTGAAGCACTGGAGTATGAAGGATTAAGAAAGAGGGAGA